AACCAAATTTCTGCTCCATCTGAAGGATTTGGATCTGAACTTCAGGTTGTTCATATGGATGATCTCAATCTGGTTGTTTTGACAGGTTGCAGAACGTGCATTGTTTTTGTGGAACAATGATCACATAAGAAATTTGATCACGCAGAATCGCAGAGTGATACTGCCTATAATCTTCCCAGCTTTGGAGAGAAACACAAGGGGGCATTGGAACCAAGCTGTTCAGAGTTTGACCCTGAATGTCAGGAAGATATTCTCAGATGCTGATCAAGAACTTTTTGATGAGTGCTTGGTTAAATTCGAAGAAGATGAAGTGAAGCAGATGGAGACACGGGAGAAAAGAGAATTAACTTGGAAGCGGTTGGAAGATTTGGCAACCTCTAAGGCTGTAAGCAATGAGGCTGTGCTTGTCTCAAGTTCTGTCTCGTCTATTGCCATTGCCACTGGAACAAGTCCTCGGACCACTGCAGGTGGTTGAGAGCCTTGACTAGTGTAAATTATGAGCTTACCCTCATGAAGGAATATAAGGTGAGACCTGCGATGTAGGAATTGTTCAGCCTCACTTCCCGTAGTTCTCTCATTAGTCCATACCTGAACAATGCGGAAAGTTAATGTTCGGTTTTGAGACGCTGAGGTTACTCACCTTTTCGGTTCTATGCTTGCTCCGTTTTCTTCTTTTCATCCATGAAAATGTAATTGTGTGTAATATAAAGGATTTGATTCATAGAGGTAGCGCTTCTTTTGATTTCCTACCTGATAAAATTTATTTGCTGTAATGATGCAAAGAAGATTGTTCCTTCTATGCTTCGACTTTGATGACTTTCTGAACATTATTAGTTCTTTTAAACTGCTACTTCTCAAGCCAAAACATCGCCACAATCTTCCTTCAATGGCTCACCGTTTGCCATTTTGAGCCCTTAGGACTATCATCATGTTGACACTTTTGACGGGCGTTCACAAACATGCAAGTCTCTGGGGAATGACAAAATTTATTGCTAGGAATTTTCTGCCTGTGCTCTTCAAGTGAGAGTACTCTGCCATGAAGTTCTAGCATTGAGAATGATTCTCAGACATGGTTTCTAGGACAACAAACACTTTCAAGATAGGATCAATGCTTGACAAGCTTTTGATTAGAGGGTGTATCCTAAAGTTCTGAATGAACAAGTTGATATTACTTTGCTATGGTCTTCGTGATTGTGGTAATTTATGAACTAATTCTTGCTTGAACGTAGTTAAAGATCACGGCAGTTCATGGTGGCCATCAATTAGATTCTAGTGGTGGTTTTTACACCAGCGCAGTTGACCAGGTACCTGGTCTATGTATCTGTTTAGCAAAAAGCCCACAATTTTATTTTCTGACAGCTCATACTTTCGTTGTTACTTGCACCAGCAGTTGGAAAAGATACCAACACCACCACATTCCATTTATGATTTAAATCAAAACGCATTGATCCAATTTGAAAGTGGTTCATGATAATAAATTCAGGATTTCTAAATCCTTGTGGCAGAATCCATTGACAACCACAGTTGCAGCAAATCAGTAACATAATATCCAGACCTGCATTAGGGAATCTATAACTGAAAAATCATGAGATGATATTTTGATCATTTTACAATAGCGTTCCAAATTGCTGATACGGTTTCATATTTCTATTCTAAAATGGATGCCTTTGAAGCCAACACACAAGGAAAGAAGCATTGCATTCCTCAATGAAGTACACAGAAAAGGATTAGTGGTCATCACCATAAGCTCGGAAACTATATCGCTCTTGGTATGGAGCATTGAAAAAGAGGTCAGCCTCAAACCACTTTGGGTAGCGAACAAGGTCTCCTGCAACAAATCGCATGTATTTTTTGCTCCCTTCAGGAACTACCCTCACCTCTCCTTCCTCAATGTAAACTAACTGGTCCACCTGCCAGTCCCAGGGCAATTTGCACTTGCCAGTCTTCCACTCTGACCATTTTGAAACCCCAAGCTCTGCCAGTCTATCTCGTGACACTTTCCTTTCCACCCTTATGTTGTACAACTCCTCAAGAGGCTTCTCGATGTGCATCGCCTTTATACCTTGACATTGCCGAATAGTATTTTTCAAGATTTTACAATCTCTGCTGCTTCTGTTGACAGAGAAGGTTGGGGATATGATCATGCTTGCCATAGCTACATACAGTTTCTAGCCTTTCCCGTCTGCTCAAGCTAGCTAAAGTTGTGTCGAATGACTAACACAAGTTCAAAACATATAAATTAGCAAAGTAAAGTGACAAGTAGATTTGCTAAAGTGACAAGTAGATTCAAAACGCTGGCAAAATCATCGTTTACAGAGAATATTAATGTGTATTCCCCGTGTTCCAACCATCACAATAAAAGTAAACCGTTGTACAAAAATACAAGTTCCCCAAGAGAAAGCAAACATAAAATACATAACTTTTTTTGAACTACAATAACCAGGCCCGATGGAATTATTTCAAGCACAAATTCATTTAGGCTAAGCAGATAGGTATCATCCATCCCTCATGCCATTCTTTCCTGACATAAGTAACTAATGCATACAGTTCAAGTTTTACACACCTTGTATCAACGATTCTTCTTGTTTCCTGAATTTTGTTTCTATTTCTATATGCTTTTCATCTTTGGCAAAGATCGTTGCTTCATTAGCTTTGGATCATAAATAAAACCTCAAGTTTAGCCTCATTCCTCGTGGACTCTATAGACAGGGAACTTGTAGCGACTTCTACTAGATTTTTAACACAGAAAAAATTTCACATTTCGGATATAACTGGCAGGCTAAATCTTCATTTAAGTTTGTAGCTACGTAGACTTTAGTTTCAGGAGTAGAACAAATACATATAGGGAAAGCAAGAAGTATAATTTCACAAAGCTAACCAAAACAAGCGATAGCATATGCATGAAATGTACCAACAACAATCACCTAAACTCTCGATAATTTTTTAGCGCCCAGCAAAGCCAAAAACTTCATTCATTTCAAGATTTCATCAAAAAATGCAGAGCTCCAAATATTTTATTTCATTTTCCCACAAACCAAACAGAGAGCAGATAGAAAAGAGAGAAGTAAAATCACTGATACCCAACATTTGATAATCACAAACACAATACCGAGAATAGATGGAACAAATCATAATTTGAGAGGTCTCACCTGATAATTATGGAAAGGAAAGTTTGCAGAGCCAAAGAAGAGACGAAGGGGGAAAGTTGGAGTCTTTCCTAAAACCTGATAAAGTTGAGAGGTTTATCTTCTATCCGGTCGGTAGGGTCACATGTAGGTGAATTTTTAAATGTCACCCGTTAGTCAAGGTTTACTGGGTAGCGGGTCTCTCGGTTACCACTGTTATTTCCGCTTCTATTACATGGTTGAGTATTTTTAGAAATACTGGTGTTGCCGTCAAACACTATTTTTTTAAAAAAAATTAAATGTTTTTCAGAAATTTTAAATAGTGTCAATGGATACTAGTTTATTCACTTCTGGTTTATAATAGGTTAATATTATTTTTTTTAAATATAAAAAAATTATAATATAAAAAATATTTTAATAGTGTTATTAAATATAATCAAACTAGTTAATTTTTAAATTTTTACTTAACTCTTTATAGAATCAAGTGTTTTAAATTTGATAACCATATCAGATTCAAACATCTTAGGTTTAGTATGATCCAAATGACTGGGCCTGACAGTCATGCTAAACCTATGCGTGTTTTTTTTTAATATAGAAATTCAATTATAATTATTTTAGAAATATATTTATTTTGTATTTTTATCTTTATTTTTTTAATAAAATATATTTTTATCTTTTCTATATTTTTTTCTATTGTAGGATATTAACCATACACCTAAAATTCACTCAATTTTTTTTATTAATTTTTAATTTTAGTGAAGAAATCATTTACAAAATTACATAAATTAAAATAGTCAAAAGAATAATAAGTCTTTTACATATATAGTATTTTTTTTCCTTATAATGTATCAATTCAAAAATTTCTCTTATGATGATATATTTCAATTTTTTTTTATATACTAATAGTTATAATATAGAATAAACTCTCGTTGTAATAAATTTTAACAATTATATCATAACAAAATCTCAAATATAAAAAAGTATAGATTCTTTAAAAAATTATCCAATACTTGGATGAAAATATAAAATTAATATTTTCATTCACGATGCATGAAAAAAAAAGTTTATTTTTAAAAACTTAAACTAGATGACTTAAAACTCAACATTGTTTTTTCATTATTTCCTCTTTGAATATAACAACTTTATAAAATAAGTTATATAAATAAAAAAAAGTTTGTAGTTAAGTTTTAATGTATATGAATGAAAAATCCTACTTGAATAAGGTAGTGTTTGTTTTGTAATCTAATCGTACTTTAAAAAAAAAATAATTTTTTAAAATAAAGTGTTTGGGTTTGACAAAATTACCAGATTCAAGTGCGATTTTGGTAGATCTAGACTCGTGAGTTTGGCAAATCTAGGCACATAAGGTCTTGCAAACCATGCCAAACCCAAGGTGCGTAGGTCTGGCAAATCATGGCAGATCTAAGCGCTTTGGGTCTTTCAATCTTGTTAAATCTAATATGCTTTAATATGATAAACATGTTTAATTTAACAAATAATAATTAAAAAAGACAATTATATATTTTAGTTATAAAGAGAAAGAGAAAAAAAAATATATAAAAAATCGATCATTATACATCAATCTAAATATTATTTATATATACACGTCACATCATATAAAAAAAATATGATTTGCTAGATAGTAAATAATTATATTTGAAAATAAAAAAACAATTTCAATGCTCTTGTGTAAAAAGCTAAAGAAACATTTGTCTATTTATGAAAAAAATTAAAAATGAAACTATGATTACAATACACACCAAAATCTTTCTTGATGTACAATAATTTCTTTGTATCATTGAGCTTTTATTATAATTTTTTAAAAAATACTTTAAAAAGTTTGCTTTATCTCATTATCCTACATGTCCTTAGAATAAAGGAAAGAGAGGGTTTTCGGTCGTGGAACGTGTCCAGTTCTCTGACACTTGTACATTGGCATCTCGGTAATGTTGGAGATTTGATGATAAATTGAAAAAGGAGCTCGAAATCCAGGATTTTAGATTTTGAGTTCAACTCAATATGTTGATGGTTCAGCTTGGACAGTGCAATGGGGTACTGGGTCAGTACCCAAAGCTGAGCCCTTTGGTTCGGAGAAGAAAGGAGAGGATTCAAAGGAGCATGTCTTTGCAAGCACAAGCTCTTCCTTCTAGAACCCAGGTCAAGTTTTTTTCCAAATTCTTCTTTTTTCCCCTTTTAATAAAGAATGGTTCTTTATCTTTGATGGATTAAAAGGAATACGATAAAGGGTTTATACATTATAGTGAATGTTTTTTCTGTTTGTAATTGAGTCAGGGCTGCATGTATCTAAGTTGGTGTTAAAACCGATATTCTTATTGACTGTTTATAAATGGAGAAAAATAGTTATTTCTTTGCACATTGATTTTACTCTTTGTTTCTACATGAGAGAATTCTGTGGAGATTTTTGTAATGTGGTACGGTTCAAATGCTCTATAGTGTAAATGATAAATGCAACAATCTTATTATTTCTTTAGGTGCCTGGAGGTTCACTTAATCATCCAATTGCAAGTGTGCAACATAGTAACTGCGCTTGTGATCGCTCATGCTGGGAGTAAAATAAATAGAATGTGATCAACTCTATATTTTAGGCTGTTGCTGTTTTGGAATTCAAGTTTAAGTAACTTCTTTTAAAGCAAAATCAAGAATCCATCTTCTTTCGAAGTTGGTAGCTTCTGCCTTTAGTGTGCTTTATTCGAAGTAGCGAATTATATTTTAGAAGAGGAATACGGTGTACTTATGGATCTGTTATGACTTCTAGTCCAAAGAAATACATATTCCCATTTGACTTTTTTGGATTCTCCAATTGCTTCATCATGTGCTTTCTAATCTGACATGTTCTTTTCCATTTTGTAGAGGATAATGGAGAGTATTGCAGTTGAAGGTGAAGTTGGTGGTGCTGGTGGGGCTTACTCATATAATGCCTTAAAGAGGTTGGACCATATTTGGTCTAGTATCTGTTCCACTGTAACAGGTACAAATCATGCAACTTACTTTGAATGATGATTCAATGTCTATGAAATTCTTGAATTCTGGCAATCTTTGTATCCATTTGCAGTTTCTCAACAGCCTCAGCAAGTTGTTTCGAGTATTCCAGGAGTGTCAAGCCATTCTGATCTCACTGGCAAAGTGGTAGATAAATTTGACGTGGTAGTTTGTGGAGGTACTTTGGGAATATTCATTGCCACAGCCTTGAGTGTCAAAGGTCTTAAAGTAGGCGTTGTGGAAAGAAACATACTAAAAGGGGTATAACGTACTGCTACTTTCAATAAAGAGACAACTTAAGGCACAACGAATTGCTTTTGATATGTCAATTCTTTGAAATGGTTAGAGGGAGCAAGAATGGAATATCTCAAGGAAGGAGCTGTTGGAGCTTGTAGATGTTGGAATTCTGGAAGAGAATGACATTGAACAAGCTATAGCTATGAGCTTTAATCCTGTGAGTTCTTGAACTTCATAAATCAAATAATTTTTCGTAGTTCAACATTTCAGTTGTGTACCAAAGAATGGACTGGAGATAAACATTTGATGCTAGGATCATGTTTGCCTCATTGTTATTTGTTTTCTATAACTCTACACGCTTTTGGAAAGCATTCTCTTTTTTATTTTATGGAAAAAAGCACACATATATAAAGATAATTCTTCTCAGAAGAAGGTTCTGCTATAAGCTATATTCTCTATCAATCTCTAGATAGTATGCTGTGATGGCCACTTCTCATTGCAGTGGATGTCTGACTACGATGGACACCAGTTTGGATGCTCTTAAATCAGCTTATATTTTTTAAATAGTACAGAGTCTGTATTTTTAGGTACCAAAGAATGACTGCCCAAGCCATCTTCTTTTCTTTTTGTTTTTTTTTTGTGAGATGGGTGACTGCCTATGCCATCTTTTCTATGACTTTTCTCCTGGATTTATAATTATTGCAGACTTCAAATCGCCTCAGAAATTTCTAATTTTAAGCATAATCAAATGAGCACACGTATATAACCATGCCTTCATTTTTGCAATTCCAGCATGTTCTGTATCTCTTCCATTTTTTGATTATTGTGTCTAGATTTTCCTCATTTCTATGAGGTTGCATGGATTTTGTCGATCCATATCCAACTGCCTACACTGCCTGATGTCACCTTTTTGGTATATTTATATTGTTTAAAATTTCACTAAATGTGCAGAATAGATGTGGCTTTGAGGATAAGGGCGAAATCTGGGTCAAAGACATTCTTAATCTTGGTGTTTCGTAAGCTATCATTTCATTTTTGGTAATAGTATGTTGTATGTAACTGGTAGCGAGATTTAATTTTAAGATGAACCTAAACCAGGCCTTGGATCAATTCAAAATAAAAACGTTAATCTTGTTTATATAATGTTAATTTATAATATTGTGACTCTCCTTCCATGGATTGTTGGGTTTAAAATGTGTGTCAGACTATACAAGAAAATATTGATTGCTGGAGAATTCTGAAATATCATGTGGCATTAGATATGAAAGATAATGTAGGTACAAGAAAGGCATGAAAATTTGCAATAAATGCTGCCATAGTTTAAAATAAAGTCATTCAAATCAATATTGAAAGCTCTCTCTTTCATGAAATTATTGCGAAGATATCACGGAATCCTCAGTGACATCTGTTCTTATATTGAGTAATGACTCTCAAACTAAGCTAGGCCATGATTTAGCTTATTTTTATGTAATTTTCATAGCAAGTAATTAAGGACTTCTGAAATTTTCAAAAGCTTGAATTTTCGTTTTTGCTTTCAATTCTTACTCCTTTATTTGTGTTTGTGGCATGCTGATGAAGCATGATTTAATTCCTTTCAACAAGGAGTTTGATGGCGTCATCTGACAGGAACATCAATCTTGTTTCTTCAATAGTCGACAAATCCTTTGGATTATAATTATTTTATCCTTGCAGCCCTGTGAAGCTCATAGAGATTGTGAAGAAACGTTTTATTTCCCTTGGTGGAGTCATCTTTGAAGGTTGCAGTGTCTCCAGCATCTCTATATATGAGGATGCATCAGTGAGTCTATTGAATCTTGCAAAGTAATATAATCACAAGTAATTTTGATTGCATAAAATCTGGTAGGATGGAAAGAAAGTTAAGGATTTGTGTTGCTGACTCCAACTGGTTTGAGACTAAGGCTTAGTTGAGTTGTTTTAAAATTTAGTTGATGTTTTTTTCTACCATATTTGAGTTATAGCTGAATTCTGGTCTGGTCCTCCAATTGAACTAATGAGAGAACTTCATAATGGGCCCCTCTGGTTATGCAAAAACATGATTGGACACATCCACCACACATTATCGAAAACCATGTTTAGTGGAATGAGCATTTCAAGATGTAAGTGAGAACAACTGAAATTGTAAATTAGAATAAATAAAAAAAAAGTCTCTGAGAAATACAAATGAATCATGATTAAAGAAGGCCAAAGGAAAGAGAACGTTTGAATTATTTAATGAAAACACTGGCACTCACTCGGAAGAAATCTTAAATGAGTTTTATGCTTCATAATAACCATGGAGGTCTAGCTTTCAAAATTCCAAAAGGGTTGTCTTTAAGTTCATGTAAGGCTATGCTTCAAATAATGGTGCATTGCTTGCACAGAAAAATTAAACATTGATTTTGAATAGCATTTTATTCTCTTAGTGAACATCAATGGTTTGAATGACTTCTCTCAACAGGTCTTGCAACTGGCAGAGGGGAACATTCTGTCATCTCGTCTCATTATTGATGCAATGGGGAACTTTTCACCGGTGGTAAAACAGGTTAGACTCTTCCTCTTGTACATATTTATAGTTACTTTGCAATTATGCACTGGACCACAAGCATCATTGTTGACTAGATTTTACATAAGTTCGTGCATTTTAATGTAATATAGGACATTAGATTTTCTGTCGTTTCCTCTATACACAACCTTATTCATTTTTGCATGTTTGAGTCACAGGTAAATGAAATGAGGCTGGAAAGCCCTTAATTACAATGTGCCTTTGCTATTTCTTAGATATTGAAATATAAGCCAAATATTTCAAAAAATGATTCACACATGACAAATAACAACTTATATCTAGTACATGTCTGCTGCAATCCTGGCAGAAACTGTTTCTCAACTTTATGTTTTTTTAGATAAGGAGAGGAAAGAAGCCAGATGGTGTTTGCCTTGTTGTTGGATCTTGTGCTCGTGGTTTTAAAGATAACTCTGCCAGTGATATCATATATAGTAGTTCATCTGTAAAGAAGGTTGGCGATTCTGAAGCACAATACTTCTGGGAGGTTTGTAACAATCTAGTGGGATGCTACCATTTATAAAAGACTTTTTTCCTTTAGAGAGTCAAGCTTTGAAGTACTTTTGACAGGCATTTCCAGCTGGATCTGGTCCTTTGGATCGTACTACATATATGTTCACTTATGTCAGTCCTCAACCAGGATCGCCAAAATTAGAAGAATTGTTAGAAGATTTCTGGGACTTGATGCCAGAATATCAGGTTAATTTTCAGATTGCAATCTGCAGAATTACATTTACTTTCAACTTTTGTAGTTCTGCATCTTGATGATAGTGGATCCTCTTCATCCTAAGAATGCTGTTACTATTCAATCTACAATACGTACTTTGTCGGTTACTTTATGCTAAATCTGTTTTTTTTTCTTTTCCTGTTGTGCTCAAATTTGTGGAAGTTGTTTCCATATCTAGGTGGTTTTCTTAACACTTAAGTACGAATTCTGAACTCACAAATCCAGTTAATACTCTATTTACAAACTTCCTAGTCCTGAGTGTTTATCTCAGGACATTATGTTTTGTAGGATTGTCCCCCTTTCCTTACTCATGGTAACTATAACCGCCACAGCATTAGAGAGGCCAGCCTTATTTGTAATTATTTTCTTGGCATTATCATGACATGCATTTGACTCCCCCCCCCCCCCCCCCCCAACCAACCCCCTGTTTTGTAATGGTTGCAATGTCAATACTGCTGCCTAAACACTTAGCTGACTGCCTCCAAGTGGTTGGTTTAGTTGGTGGTAAGGAGAAGATTCATTTGGACTCAGGTCTCAGGTTTGAGTACTGCTACTAGCTCCTTCGTGAGGTGCAAGATGAGTGTTGTCTGTGAATGGGTTGTGGTCCACCTATCTATACACCAATTTTTGAAAAAAAGAAGAAGAAAGAAACTCTTAATTGACCTTATTTCATGCCCAACTTTAATCAGCCTCAATTTTTACTCTTTTCTTTTGATGTCTTTATTGATTTTCTTTGATCATTGCGATGAAGGAGAGGCTTCCCCATCCATCTCTAAAGCACCAAACAGAACTTGGGTCAGCTGGTTGTCTGTCTGCTTCAGGAAGAGTGAGTTTACAAGCAAGTAGTTCACAACCCTTCCTTCTTTTATTCCCCAGCTTGGATAGATATAGATAAGCCGGGCATCTCAAGAGGAAGACAGGTTTACCACAACCTGAGTCTTTTCTACCCTTAAGGGCTTCTAGCACCACTAGCTCTTTTGGTTTACTGAAGAATGAAGCCTCTACAGCTAGAGATGAAATAGAAGAGGGGGCTCTTATAGACTTGAGGAACCCATCTTTCAATTTACATAATGTAATCCAAAACTCTTAACTGACCATATTTCATGCCCAACTTTAACCAGCCTAAAAGGGAAAAAGAAAATTGATCTAGCACATGATGTTAGCCTGTGGTTTAGTAATTACATTTTAAACCAATCAAGTTCGTTTCATGTTGCTGCATGCAATGGATAGGAAGTTTAATAATGCATGTATTTGGAATTTATTGGTGCATGCCTGTAGTCAGGGGATAGATATTTTCTTTCTTTTTTAAACTGGTGTCCTACTTGGCCTTAAACATTGTCTGTTGAGATCATTAACAAGTTCTATTTACAAGCTTTTCCTTCTCTGTGATGCCCTCAAGCTTATTGATAAGATTATGCACTTTTTATCGCTCATTTTGCAGGGAGTCTCTCTTGACAATCTGGAGATACTGAGAGTTATATATGGCATTTTCCCTACATATCGTGACAGGTAACAATGCAAAATATGAACTCCAAGGCTTACTTGCATGCTACTGGAACTGCATTATACATGTAAACACATACTGAGAATAATAAATTCCAAAAGAAAAGGCTACAAAAAGCTGCTGGCTTACACAGGACCAAAAGGTAGAAGGACTTGTGGACTTCTTCACCTGGGAAAATGCAAGCACCTTGCTTTTGAATTTTTTCCGTATACAAGGCATGTTTGGCATTGTAGTCTATTGCTCAATATATTCAAGTCAAGATATCTTAGATTCTTCTCCAAACCCATGATCCTCCTTTTTGGTGTGAAGCATTCAGATAAAGAAGGATCTGAGATATCTTAACTTGAGTATATTGAGCCATAATGGGAACACAAGGCATGTTTGGCATCATAGTCTATTGATCATAATTTCTTCTATCTTGATTTGAAACCTGTGAATTACTATAAATATGAAGCTGTGTATTTTTCTAGACTGCTTGTTATTTGCAAACTATATTAACTCGAATAACATGTATTCTCATGTCTTGTCATGCTTCATGCCAAAAGTGATCTTGCTCTTCTTTTCTGTTGAATATTCTTATTAATTTTGTTACTCAAGTCTAACATCTTTTAAATTCTTAATGGGGGTGGATCAACTTGTCAGTCCATTGCCTGCAGCATTTGATCGTATCTTACAGGTGGAATATGTCACACAATTATAAAGCTCTTACTAGATTATGGGCACAACACAAATGAGATGCAAGCATCACTAATTCATTCTCTGCAGTTTGGGGATGCTAGTGGCATCCAGTCACCTGTTTCATTTGGTGGTTTTGGAAGCTTGACAAGGCACCTTGGGAGATTGTCAGCAGGTATATTCAATTAATTTGCTAATACTCGAGTTCAATTGATTATTTTGGAGGGATAACACGTATTAGATAATTTAGTAGGCATAACATATCACTTCAGATGAATATACATACTTTTCCTTTGTAAATACTTGGTCCCTGGTTTTATAAAAAAAACAACAAATTACTTCAATGGTGTCTCCATCAGCACGAGCTATGTAAAGATTTTCTAGCTAAAAGCTTACCATTTTTTTTTTCATGAAATAAAGGAGTATATGAAGCAATCAATGGAGATTTTCTCGATGCATCCAGCCTGTCCCTCCTAAATCCTTATATGGTTGGTGACCCCTGACTTTTATTTATGGCTATATGGTTGAACAGCCTCTCTTGCAATTATCTGAGTGACATTTTCTTCATTGCAGCCAAATTTAAGTGCTTCGTGGCTGTTTCAAAGAGCAATGTCAGCCAAGAAAAACTCTAATGTTCCTCCAGAATTTATTAATGAGCTTCTTTATGTCAATTTCCAGAGTATGCAGGTGGGCTTAGGCTATGTAAATAAGCCATGACTTCTTTAATTCTTCTTTATGTGTCTGTCAGTTTGCTTTCATTTACTAATGAATCTGCGTATCTCTTCTCAGAAGCTGGGGGATCCAGTTCTAAGACCATTTCTTCAGGTTTATTGTCTTATTTCCACTTTTCAGTCCTTGTTCCAAGTTGATTTGATTGGTGTGGTCCCGTTATTTGTCTTAGGAGATTTAGTTCTAAAGGAAAAACAGTTACAAATAAATAATAATGCCGATGCCACTATATGGTCACAGGATGTTATACAGTTCTGGGCTCTTTCCAAGACATTAGGCCTTGTTATGCTAACTAAACCTCAGATCATCCCATCAATATTCAAGCAGGTATGCATGAACGTAAGAGGTGCTCTTTTTCCTTCTTTGTAATTTCTCTTCAACTTGAGATGCTGGTATAAATTCTTGCAGGTTTTTCCTATTGCTTTTTTCTTCTGAATCTTTTAACTTTGCATTGTATTTTTAAAATCATAAATTCTTGCATGTTTATCTCATTTTCTTTGCTTTTATCTTTTTGCTTAAAGAATAAAAAACTCGAATGATATTTTGCATAGACTTGGTGGTGTTAAGTTGCAGGCATCTGGAGCAAAACGCTGGATTTTGCATTTATTTAAACATTCATTGGTTATTTCCTTTTTATCTTATAGAATTTAATCTTTTATAAACAACTTGGTAATGTAATTGCTGCAGCCTCATTCTATCTCGCAGCACAAAAACACTTGTAATTTGCCACTGGTTTCTGTTAGAAGAATTTAGCATTGTCTCTGCCACCTTCCTGTGCCGTTAATGACCCTTTGCCTTGGCTTGGAAGCAGTTAGAGAATGAAATATTAGCTTCTTTACTGTGAAACTATAAACTATTTAATAACGGTATGCACTACATAGATTGACAGGATTCAGTACAGTAATTGTGGTGTTGATACAGTGATCATAAAACCTTAAAAGCATGCACGTACAGCAGTTAGGTTTCTCTGTATCCACTTTCTCACACGATTCAGATCTTACGATGGACACAAGTAATGTTTGGTAATGGAAATTACCACTCATCTTAACCATCTTTTCATCTTCAGGTTGGTATTCCTGTGCTTCTTGACTGGTCCAGTCATTTCTTCATGCTGGGCTACTATACTTTTCTCTCCACCTATGCAGATCCAGTAATAAGGTATGGTATACATTTTCCTCTTTTAGGTTTTTTAGTTTTACTCTTTAGTTTTTGTCCATGTTAACAGTAATAGAAGCTATTCTTCTGTATGTTCCCTTATACTGTTGACCTCTTCTTCACAGACCATTATTAACTGCATTTCCATCCAAGATGAAATACGAGTGGAAGCGGTATCTTGAGGCTTGGAAATATGGGTCTGGTTTAGATTATAAGCTGTAAAGATGCAGGCATCATCAGTCTAATGGAGACTTGGTGTTCCCCAGAGTGAATCAGAACCGGCATGTTTGATTTAAAGAATTAAATCTCATACACATCGGAGAGAGTCTGTTATCACTGAAATCAACAGAAAACTTTGTATCCATCGAACTCATGACAATCTCAAGTTTATAATTCTTTTATTCTTCAAACGGGATAGCACTTGTCCACCATTTTGATTAACTGTTCTTTTATTGGATGAGCACTCTATTCTTCCATTTTCCTCAGTTTTTATTTTTCATACTTTGGTTCACTTTCTCTACCTTTTTTTTTTTTCTGGGTGTACTTTCAAATTTATCCCCTTTTTGCTCTCTGGAGTGGCTAAATACCTGTCGTTGAAAGCAAGAGACGAGGCCAAGGCTGTGAGACGCTTCTGCAGAAACCTGTTTGGTCCCTAGATTTCTCACAGCTTTGACAAAAACTGCAGCTGAACAAGATATTGAAATTTTAGATAATACACTTTCCAAATAAATACTCACGGCATTGTTACAGCAAAATGCACACGAGAAACATGAATTACATTTGATTGATGAGACTACATTTTCACCTCGTATCTTTTATTTAAGAAAACCCACCATCATCACTGTTCCACATTATTTGCATGAACGAAATCGTTACACAGAAATCAGTTGGAAGTTTTTGCGCCCAGAATTTTAGCAAGCTCCTTGACCATAGGTTTCTCTTTCACGTCTTCCTGCCTACCAAGATGCCATTTCTTCGATGTATCTTCCGCCTGAAAACACAAGGTACAAGATATATGACCACAGCAAAAACCCCAAAAAGAATTGCGTGGAATAGAAGAAAAACCTAAAGCAATCAAAACCAGAACTTGCAAGAATCGTATACCCAAGTTTTTAAAGGCACAAATTGCTCTCTGATGACATCAAGTTTTGGCTGAACCAGGTCTTTCCCTTTAGTTCGGATATCATCACCCTGTCAGAATAATTAAAAAGAAAAGGTACAGGTAAACTGGTGGTGATTCATTTCAAAGATGGTCCTTCCAGATCTAATACTAACACGAATTATCCAATACCAGTGATTAATGAATTAGTAGCATAAAAAAGGCATGATTTTCTTCTTCGATTACTTACATTACGGAGGTCCAGCTTGGAAGCTGCCAAAGAAAATACCAGAGTGGCGCCACCAAACACAATTGCAGTTGCAACCGCAAACGCCTTCCCAACTGTAAACACAGTAATTAAGCCAACTATTAGCACTAATAAATGGGCTTGAGCTTGCATTTTTCAATTCTGGTTCATGTATCAAAATAAAATCAAAAGAAGAAAGAAAAGGTAACTATAAGCAAGCCCCTCGGCTGCGGCCTTCAATTTATCGGGATTAATAGTGGTATATCTGTCTTTTCGCATTTCATTCGCCGTCGACGCCAGTACCGAGTGCTCCTCGCTCGGCAATTCCCATCTGTTCGGAATCATTCCCCCACCAATGTTTAATCAAAATTGAAAGAAAAAAAGAAAGAAAGAAAGAAGAAGAAACGTTATATTTATCGAAAGAAGGGTGGTACCTTTTGGGACCAAAAGTGACATGGGGGAGGGAAACATAAGCTCGGAGAGGATTGAGAACATCAGGGGACACGGTTGAACTACTATTTGGATGATCAGATCGTAGGGCCCACTTGGATGATGTGGACAGAGAAGACGGTTCGTACGGCTTGCCGAAGATCTTGGAAGGAAGAGAATGTCTTAAGACCTCGGGAAGCACATCGGCTTGGGATTCGTGCTCTATGGTCGAGGAGGAGGAGGAGGGGGGTGGGAGGTTCTTGACGGTGGTGGCGGATTTCTCTGCGAGGCGGTTAACGGCATGTTTGGATTCCTGGAAAAAGAAGGCTCCTTCTTTTCCTGCTAATCTTCCCGCTAGAAAACTCATAGCTGCTTTCTATATTTTGTTGTGGATTGGACGAGGCCGACCTGACGAACAGACGGACAGGCTTGGTGAATTTGGGTTTGGTGTTTCCAGGTGCCGTTTCAACATTATATACGATAATGTTGAATGTGAACTTGTGAAATAAATAAAAAATCCATACTTTTTTTTAAAACATTTTATTGAATTTATTCAAGTGACTGTTTAGTCCTCATGTTCTTCGAAATTAAAACTGCTCTCGGCCTCATTTTATCACATTTAGAAAACGGTAAGAACTGCATCAAAAAAAGAAAGAGAGAAAGAAATGGAAAAGAAAACAGGAGGAAATAAAGGAAGAAAAAGGCTACTTAGTCAGCTGTCCCCCTTTTCGCTACGAGATGCATACATTTAATTTTGACACAGAACCAAACTACATCAATCCTGATGAACACGGGTTAACCATAAAAATCACAAACTGGATCGTGTGTATAAGCACAACAAGCTAATTTGGCTTGCTGGTTGCTTCCTTCTTTGCCCCTTCCCAGCTTCTCTTACATGTTGGATCTTCATTTGGTTAGGTTGGAATGAAATATGAGATTAAATTGATGTGTTTTTAAAGAGTCAAACACTAAATTAAAAAGAGATTGATTAGGTTTAGATGAAATGAAATTGAAAACTCAATTGAAAAATTAATATTGATTTGGAGATTAAAATAAAAAAAATAAAAGCAAAAAAATAAACATTTGATATACACGCGCCAACATGTAGGTGAGATTACCACGGTGAGTGGAGTTGTCACAGTTTGATGATGCGTGATAGCATCTGATCTTCTAAAATAGCTAATTAATAACTTTAGTTTTATCTCGTCGAGTCAATCATCTCAAGAAACCGTGTGGTATAGAAATTTTTTTAATATAACTCGATGATTATTTTATTTTCTCTTTCCTTTTTTACTTTTTCTATTTTTTATTTGGAAGAGAAGGCTCTTTGTTATCTTTATTTTCAACTATAGTCTTTTTAGTTTTAATTTGTTAAAAAAAAATTCAAATTTTTTTATACAAAATCAAATATCAACTGAAAACTAATATTTTTTATACCATATAAAGCTTAAATCTTAAGTGACCAGCCGTCAAATACTTTATTGGAAAACAAAAAAATATGGTTGTAAGAAAAAAACTCTTAGGATAAGAAAAAAACACACAGTAAGTCCACAGTGAATGATACAATAGAAATCCAAGGTGAATTAGTTTATTTCTTGTACTAAAATTAAAGCAAGAAAAAATAAATTCAACACATTTATGGGCTATCTTTAGTTTTAACTACGCATTTATTTTGGTTTACAAGTTCAATATTTCTAACTTACATGACTAATGTGAAGTTGACCGAAAGAAAAATAGAGAAATTGTATAATTTCGACATTAAAGAAGTCAAAAGGAAGTGAACGGATTGTCACATTCAATTAACGAATCATAAATCATAAAATTACATACTGGGGAGTTTTTTCAATTACATAGGAGAATTTCAAGACTTTTTCAAGAAATTTTCTTCTCCTCGTAATATCTTTTATAAAATTTACTCAAAATATTTTTACTCATAAAATGTTAATTATCGAATCTTTATCATTTAAATCTTAAAATAAAAATAACATAATTTTAAATATAAGTTTAATAAAAAAATATATCATAAGTAACTTTTCTAAGGTTGTGTAAAGAAAAACATAAACAAATATTAAAAAAAATACCTCTAATATCTTATAATTTATCCAAAATTGCTCTTATCTACCAAATTTTATAAAATTAAAAGTTGCAACCTAAACATTGATGCATGCGTAATCATTTACATCTTATACTGGATATAGCTAAAATAAGTTAATAAAAATTATTTAATTATTTACAAATTTGTTATTATTTTTTATTTAATGACTAAAAAGCTCTTATTACATTAAAATAATAAAAATACCACAAAGGCCTATACTTCATCTTCACCCCAAATTTGAATTCACATCATCCATTCATATCCACACATTAACACTTCACAATGTTACAATTAAAAAAAAATATCACCATCCTTGTATATTTCTTTTTCTCACACACAAATCTCATAGTTCAAGCTTCTAACTTTTTTTTTTTAATCTTTCTATGCATGCATATCCACACATTCTCTAAAAAATAAGAATTTTATGAAAACTATTTTTCTCTTGAAATATAAGAGGAGAAATCTTAACAATCTCATAATATAACATATCTTTGCAAGGTATAATTTCTATAAACTCCCGACTAAATTTTTCTTGAAATATTAAATTTTTTAACCTATAAATAAAATGGGTTAAATTATAATTAAAAAAATTAAAATTTAATGCCAGGAGAAATTTTTTTAAAAAATGTTGAGATACTAAATAAAAAACAGAAGAGAATCAATTAAAAAATTTAGGGGCAAATTAAGATTTTATATTAATAAGGGGCTAAAGTGTATATAAAAGCCATATAAAAACAATCTCTCTCTCTCTCTCTCTCTATCTATCTATCTATCTATCTCTTTATGGCCAGTATAGTTGGAACAAAAAGAAAGAGAGGAAGAATTGGTTTTTTTAAAAAAAAGTTCCTTAGAGAAAACACTAGAAAAATTAAGAAGAAAGTAAGAGAATCACTCATCACCACACCTCAAACACATAAATAAGAGAGAAATGTGATGGAATTCAAGAAGATTGAAGAACCCTGTCATGACAACAAAGCTATTTAAAAGGAAGTTCCAAAAATTTTTAATTGATTAAGGTTTGAAAACTAGATTGAAATTCATTAAGAAGTTCTAAACTTAATCTAGCAATTTCATGCAAAACAAATAAAAATTGAGATAGAAATCATGAATTTTATGTTAGGGTTTATGGTAGAATTTTGAGGAAAATATAAATTGATTGGAAAGTGATTAAATCATGTTAGATTATATTGTATTGGGTGTTAAATTAAGAAGAAATAATAAAGAAAATTATGTGGCTCTTAAGACTCAATAGCCTGCCAATGAGGGATTAATTGCATGAAATAAAATTGTGTTTAATTAAGTAAAATTATGATAAATTAGTATATAATTGTATGATAAAAATAATTTTTAAAATAACTAAGTTATATTATAAAGCGGGCTTAAAATGCTATAATATTGAGAAATTTAGAATTGAGAAAAATTGATGCCTTTAGAGGTGAAAGACCATTGTGTGGTGTTGACTTTTCATGTAAGGAATAGTTGATTAAAAACTTTATGAATGAATTATGATAAGAAATTTGGTGGTAATGTTGGCCAAAGAAGAAATATTCGAATGAAATATGATAATAATTTGCATTATATAAAATGTAGTATAGTTATAAATTATGTTAA